CGCCAGCGCCAGCACCAGCACCAGCGCCAGCACCAGCACCAGCACCAGCACCAGCACCAGCACCAGCACCAGCACCAGCACCAGCACCACCACCAGCACCACGATCATTGTCACCACCACCATCACCAGCACCATCACCTTTACCGACCTTTACTACCACAACCACCATCATAATCATCATCAGCATCACCATCATTATCGTCGTCGTGGTCTTCGTAATCATCATCGTCTTCATGATCATCGCCATCGCCCGTGTGGACTTTCATCTGCTGCCGCTGCTGCTGCTGCTGCTGCTGCTGCTGCTGCGATGTCTGTGCGACTGTGGCCCGGATTGCCTCTGCCAGCGCTACACTGCTGCTCCTACTCCTACACACACACATACCTTTACTGCTGCTACTGGTACTGAGCTGACTAGTGCTGCCTGCTGTTGTTGGTGGTGTTGCTATTGTTCTGCCGCTGTTTCTTTTCGGGCTTGGAGGAGTGCCTCCGGTCTAGCCCGAAGAGAGCCACAGCGCAATTGCGAAGGCTGGCGCAGGAGAACCCTTGGGTAGGCAACGGGAGCTGTTGCATTGTTTTTCAGATTTGGGTTCGGTGGTCAGGATGTAGTAAACGTACTTCTGAACGTGGTTTTCCGCGCTTGGCAGCGTGTCGTTTCAAAGCGCAGTGTCAGGGGCTCCGAACTTCGAGTGTGCGGGTACCAGCCTGTGCTAGTTTGATACCAGGAGAAAGGCGCTTCTTCTGCCCGCCGTTTTCTGGACGAGTTGCAGCGCCTCGCCCTGCGCGTCAACGTGATCCACCTGAACACGGAGCCGCAGCCGCAGAAAGACGCGTGAAAGCTCCGTGAATCGTTGGAATCGATAGTCCCCCACCCGAGCAAGCCCCACAATCTCAAACCATGAACGGGTTCCGGCAGGTTGAAAAACAGCCACAAAACAAGACAAGAACTAAATCTTAGGCTCCTGCCTAAGGTGATGGCTTCTTTGGCAGCAGAGAAGCACTGGTCACAGGCTGGGAGTGCAGAGGGCATAGATCTTGAGCCATACATGTTTGAGGAAAGCATATACTTTATAAGACTTTCTAACGCCATATTTTTGTCATCTGGGAGACTGGGGCTTTGGAGGATCAGCCTTCCAATCTTCCTCATGTGTGCATGCTATGTCCACTGTATCGATAAACGCTAAACCCTAAATCTCACAGTAAGAATCTAACAGGCTCTGCTGATGTTTACTGTGGCGCCCGGCATGTCCTTGCAGCGCAGCCTCGTGAGCTCGACTCTCAGTCTGGTTTTATTGAGGGTTTAAGGGTTCACGGGGGGTCTTGGGGCTTGGGGTTTAAGGGTTCAGGATTAGGGGTTTATGAGGGTTTGGGGTTGGGACATTAAGGTTTGGATTTAGGGTTCAAGATTTAGGCTTTAGGGTCCGCGACTTTCGGCTTGGCGGTTACAGGATGGCTATGCCTTTTTATCCGTCTTTCTGCCTCCACACCTGTTGTTGTCATTGTTGCTGCTGCTGTGGCTGCAGTGGTAGTGCTTTTACAACAAGCGTTTTTTGTTGATAAGATTCCCATACCACAAGCACTGCTTCTTGAATTAAAATGCCTTGTGCCATCTCTATGCATCAGTACCATAGACATAGTCGTGCTCATCATCATCATCATCATCATCGTCATCATAGTCATCATCGTCGTCATCATCATCATCATCGTCATCGTCATCGTCATCGTCATCATCGTCATGATCATCATCATCATCATCACGATCACCATCACCATCACCATCACCATCATCGCCATCGTCATCGTCATCATCGTCATGATCAACATCACCATCATCACCAGCAGCAAACGTACCATCGTCAACATCCTCATCATCATCCTCATCATCATCATCATCATCATCATCATCACCAGCATCATCAGAGCAATCATGATTACCAAGTCTCCCAAATGAATGACCATCAGTGGTGATGATGACGATGACCACTTTACTCAGCATTGCCTTCATCGTCATTATTGGAGTCATCATTGGGCCTCACTGCCATTACCAGGCCCGCTGATACACATGACGTGCAGCCAGCAGCCGTCCCTTGGACTCTTGCTTTGTTGCAACATCCGACTTATGCTTCTATCTCTATCCGAAGAATCGCCAGCGATTCTTATTGAAAGGGTACAGAACAAAGTTGCAACGGCAATGCTAGCATCAAGCACAACAGCAGCAGAGCTAATAGCGACAGTACAGCACACTTACATCTGTACGGTCGCAACCAAACGTGGCAGCTTCGGTAGTGTTGTCTGCAGCAACATGTGCACGATAGAGTATCAGCTAACACTACGGTGGTGACCTTGGTGGCAATGTTTACAACCATAGCGCAGTTGACGACATGGTGACCCAGCATCATGGTGCCCATCGCCATGATCATGACCATCAGAGTCACCAGTACCGCGAGTGCCATCACCACTGCCAAAATCGTCACCATCATGGCCGTCATCGTCAGCGGCATCAGAACCGTCTCCTTTATGGCATCAGGCATCATAGTCATCATCGCCACCATCATTATTCTTCGTCGTCACCATCATCACCATCAGCATCAGGTGCCCTATTACCAAGACCGTAACCAAGACATCTCCGGACCTCCAAAACCTCGTCGAAGGCCACAGAAAGAAGAGCTCTCGAAGCCTTCCAGGCTTCAGCACTGTGATTGGGAGAGCTGGCTGGCGGCTTGCCGCGAGTTTGCTCAGCACCACTGCAGCAGAGGCTTCTGAAGTCTAAGTATGTAAATGACCATTACATAAGCCTTAAGGGTCTGGTTTTGGGGTTTGGGGAAATTATATAAGGGTCTGCTTGGGTGAGTGGTCATCCGCTTTCGCATTGACCTCTCGCTTTGAGGTTTCAGACTGACCTCGCTTGGCTTTTCGCTTGGAAGGTAGTTGTGTTTGGACTTGGAGGATTTTGCCCTGCATCTTGCAGTAGAGTTTGCTTGCGTGGGGCTCTCAAAGGCTTTGAGTTGGTGGTAGAAAACTCGGCTTTTGTGGCGCTCTGCTTGGACTGGCCTGGCTGGTACCTTCCTTTCCTGCGTCTTGAGGTCTGCTTCAGTCTTCCGCGGCCCAAGCGAATGATGTCTGCTACTTGGTGTAGCAGCTGTGTCCCGGCCTAGTGCTCGAATCGAAAGCATCGTTGTGCCAAAGATGAGGCCTGAACACTGTCATCAAGTCTGCCGTCCGTGGCCATCAGTGGCAGTTGACTGCGCATGTGCGACTTGTCTCGACGAGAATGAGACAGTAAAGGAACTATCGCTTCTCAAAAGCCTTCAACTCCTCCGGTTTTGCCTGATCTCTGTTTGTGCAGAGGCGTAGGATGCGAGGACGTACCCACTAAGACTGGGAGACACCGTCCTGTAGCAGTGGCAAGATTCGATAGTGGTTCGGAGGATCCGCAAACATGTGACCGCAACTCCAGCTTTAGCTCGAAACGGAGACTTCATGGAGGTACCACTGCATGCATTTCTTGCGACTGCTGTGACAAGGATCGCGGGGATGCCGGGTCGCGCTCTGACTCCCAACGAAATCAGTGGCTCCACACTCTTGAGCGGCTTGGCACCAGAAACGGAAGTCATCAGTATCTTACCTTGACTGCCGTTGCAGAAGTTGCTCGAACAGGTGCAGTACAGCAGTTGCAAGACTTGCCTTGAGATCACACCAGCTCGTTTGTTTGATGGCTTTAGTGTGAGAACTCAGCTGGTCAGGTGCTTGTGAGAGGAGCCGCTCCTGGCGTCACGCGCTGCAGCATCTCCGGTGGGGCCAGGGTGCTCGCAAATTGCCTCCTGGCACGGACAGAGGGCTCAGATCCTTTTTGAGGTTCATTCCGGTTTCGTCTCCCTGAGGTGCACCATCGGGTGGAATGCAGCGGCCAGTGCGTGCGTAGACGTTTGGCCTCAGGGCTTGGCACTTCTTGTGCCCTGGCTGCACACAGTGGCCCACAAATGACAGAGTCCACTGCGCCCTCATCCTAGGACACGATGCCCGCCAGGTCCTCAGTCTGTTCGTCGTGACGTGCACGGTCCGCCACGCATGTGTTCGGCCGGATTCTGAGCTTGCTAAGGCCATGGAAATCCTGCCGGATACCATCAGCTTCTTGGTGTTTGATTGCGATAGCAGTCTGGAGATTTTCAGATGTCCTGTTTCAGTGTGGAGCTTGAAGCTTAAGCTGGGTGCCTTGAAGCATCCTTAAAGCCTTAATCGGCCCAGTGAACTCCATACCCAGCTGGGGGGCCTTAAACGTCGTGAGATCGCAACATGAGGTTTCAATGCCCGCCTGTAAACCCCGACATACTTCATATAGGGGCCTTACTATAATTAGACCAGGGGTTTGGGGGTGTATTTTACTATAGCCATAATAAGGAACCTCCAAAACCCTGTTCTAATTATTCCAAGCCCCTATGTTAGACCTCTTGAGGGCTTGGGTCGTAGATTTTTCCGACAGCTTCATCACCCGGACCTACGCTCGGCCCCACATTAAATCGAGTTTTTGCTCAATCTCCGCCAGACACCTGCAGTCCCGAATCCTCAGCCCTGAACCCCAAAATCCCTTTAGGCTCCCTAAACTCCCGAAACCCTAAAGGGTCTGAACCATAAACCCTGAACCCTACACATCGAGGCCACAACATCGGCCTCGGTTTTTCTCCGTCCTGGGCCTGCGCCCTGCGCTTTCCATCTGGCCCGGACCGGGCTTGGAGAGTTTTCTATGGGGTGTAGGGTTTATAGGGTTTTTTGGGTTTATAGGGTTTATAGGGTTTATAGGGTTTATAGGGTTGATAATCATAGGGTTTAGGGTTTAGGATTTAGGGTTTAGGGTCTAGGGTTTAGGGTAGCTATGAGGCTCCCGGGGCTGAGAGCTGCAGATCTGCAAACAGGGTACTATAGGTCTACTGGTATAGATCCCCGAGCTGCTAAGATAGAGGGGCCTTAATCATTAGAATAGGGTTTGGGGGCATCTTAATAGTATAGTTGTAATAAAAACCCCAAAGCCCTATTTCTAATTATTAAGGCTACTAACGGGTTCTGGGCTCGAGGGTTTGATTGTCGAGGGTTGCAGCTGAGTGCTTCGGGATGGGGTCTCTGTGCGGCTTTTGGGCTTCGCTTTGGCACCTTTGGGTTCTTCGGGTTTGGAGAACGTAAGTTGGGGTGGAGGCTAAGGGTTCAGGGGTACGGCCCAGCGTGTAGCACCAGAGTTTCGAGGCAAGTGCGGCACATTGATGGCTGGTAGTATAAAAATGCGAGAGGTCAACGTGTCGGTGTTTGGCTGTTTGGGTTTGAGTGCTTGGAAATCCAAGGAGACTCGGAGTGTTTGGATACTTTGCGGGTTTCAGGTGACATCCTGCGCATCGGACCGCATCGGACCACGGGAAGCAACTATCTGCTATCTAGACCATGAGGACTCGGTGACCTTTGGCACAGCGATCACCGGCCTGAAACAAGGTGGGCTCCGTGAGCTGTGTTTGGATAATTTCAGTTTCCAGATTTTGTGGCTACCAGGGAGGAATCTGCTTTGGACGCCTTTGCTTGAGGCTTCGTGTGCTTGCCTAGGCTGCGATATATGTGCGCGACCACACCGCCAATACTTGCCGCAAGCAGGACGTCTGTGAAATCTTGCTATAGAAAAGGGTGCGTCGAGTCGAGATCATCAACGTCTGTCCAGGTCGCCGGTGGCGCTTTGCCACCGTGCTTTTGGGCAGCATGGCGATTCTGAGGGTACAGGAGGTCTGCCGTAGCACCAGGGCGGCAAGCAGAAAACAGCCACTTCCCTTGCAGTGTTTGCCACATCTGCCTCATAAGAGTTACAAGGCTGATGAGTAGCATGATCAGCATGATCACCACCATCACAATTGCCTTAGTTATGCCATCATCGCCATCGCTAATCGGCATCATCATCATCATCATCATCATCACCATCATCATCATCATCATCATCATCATCATCACCGTCACCTTCATCAAGCGAACCCCTGTCAGCCCCGCACGAAGTCCCGGCTGTCATGTTTTAGGGACCCAGCCAAAAGACCACCTCAGAATAAGTCATTGCAACCTTTGCCTTCTGTCTGCCTTCGTTCATGTCTGTGTGATTGTGTGGGCTCCTAATGTTGAGTCCAGGCTTCAGCTCGTGCAGCAGCGCCTGCGAGCAGGAATCTCTCTGGGAGCCTGTGCTGACTCTGTTGAGGCCGAGATCTCCTACGGGCTCCCTTTAGATGTGCCAGCCAACGAAGGGGTGGTAAGAAGAACAAGGGTGACTAGCGCAGAATCATGCCCAGAAGCTTCCGTTTTGGGTTGGAGCAGTGGTGTCAGCACTAGTTGACTGTGCAATAGCAGACAGCGTAATGGTGGTTCTCGCCATCAAGCCCAGGGTTTCGGTTGAAAGTTGTGTCGTGGCATGTCCATTGTACCAGTCTTGCACTGAATCAGGCGGATGAGGATCGTGAGCATTCAGGGAGATGAAGTTGGACACTCGGAGACAAGAAGAAGGGAATTGTGTTGCTGTGACCAGCCGCAGGTTGAGGTGCTTTGTATATACATGTGTCACATACACAGGTTTCCACATATTGCTACTGAGTCATATCCTTATTGTTCCTGTGGACAAGGTACGAATTCGCTTCTCAGTGCCTGTGGTCAGCATGGCCACTGGGGCTTGGCACTGGGGGCTCTGCATGGCATGCCCGGGGCAACCTGGCTGGAATGGGGTTGATAACATACTACCAGGGGCCTAAATTTTACCTATACTATTTTGGGGGTTCCTTGTTATAGGCAAAGTATACTATCCACCAAAAGCCTCTTCTAATTGTTACGGCCCCTATAGTAACAGGCGTGGTAGTTTGGGTTTTGAAACCCTCCATCAACCTGTGGCCTGATTTACGTACATACACTGAATATGTGCTTGATGGCGTGTATGAATTTCTGTGTCTATATGTTATGTTTTTGTGTATGTGAGTGATTCGCGAACTGCTCAGGTTGTTGTTCATGTCTGTTGAGGCTGCAGATGGAGAACTATGACTCTGCGATTAGCCAGATGAGTACTGCGATCCATGTGGTCTAGAACAGGTGTGAAGCGAGTTGTGCAGAACACGCATGATCAAATTTTGAACCAAGCTTGCACCTTTGCAACAGGTTTCGGAGACACCTATGCCTATATAATCCTATATAGCTAAGTACGCATACGAAAGGTTCAATATAAGCATACGTACATCGTACAGGACATACAGACATGCATACATGCATGCAGACAGACAGACAGACAGACCGACACACAGACAGACAGACATCCGTATAGGCTATGTGCTGAGGCACAGCAATAAAGCTGGTTAAGAATATCGGTTTTGCTGTTCATGTTCGCCCTGTCTCTTGGGTATATAATATCTGTGCACGCCTACCTGCATGTGTGTGTGTGTGTGCATATTTTATGCACCTGTCATATGCAAGTCCAGATCGATTTGGAAAAAACATCTGCGTTCCATCTGTCCGACACAACCGGGGTTGTCTTTTTTGCCGCCCCATGTGCAAAAGCACTTAAAGAATGAACCGTTCAAGCAGGGATGCATCAAGACGCTTGTCAGGGACAGCTGGCACCGGACCAGATCAGCATGAATTCGGTCATAGCCGCTTGCCGGACAGGCTGGCCGTGGACAATGCCCAAATTGTTTTTTCCCTTGCAGTAGTTGCCTTCCTACTTTGCTCTCGGCAGTCCTCACAGCACAGAGATCGTAGAATCACGGCACTTGCAGCGAAGCTGCCCTTCTGAAGTCGGAGCATGTGCAACGAAGCCATTCGATAGAACGTCTTGCTCCCCCTGAACCAAATTCAAATCGAACGAGCTCTTCTGCTGCTGGCAGGTGCGCTTTGGCGGCTTGCCCTTCGACTATTGTGCCGCTGTGTGCTCGTTGAACTGCTTCCCAGCCGCTGGACTGCCAGAGATCTGTGTTGAGGGTCCGCAAACGATTAACGTGCGATCGGCAGAACCCTTCGGCATCTACTGTTCTACTAGCTTCGCTCGCGAAAAATGCTGGTATCTGCAGCAGCATAGCGCGCCGTTGTCAACCTAGTTCTGCTGTGTCCTGCCCGGCGGTTCCGTCAGTACAGCAACTGTGTAGAATCGGCCCCAGTTGCAGTGCAGTCAGTTGCCCAGCTCACATCATGCGTGGCCGGAAGAAAAGCAACCAGCAGTCAACAGCAGCACATCCCAGTTTGAGTGCTAGGCTGAGGAAACCTTGTGGTATTGCTTCGTCAGGTTTTTCTTGTAACATTCCTAGTCGCACTAACATTTCCATCGTTGTGACTCTTCTTCTTGCGAGGATTGCTGTCGTTACGAGTGGTATCTTTCTGCTTTGTTTTTTGTTCTTGTTATTCGCACAAACCGCTCGATGCAGATTTAGGCAGTGAAACCAACCTTCCATAACACCGTCGTATCCGTTTCGTTTTTTTTTGGGGGCTTCTTTTACGGTATCCTTTGGGTTTAAGGCAGTTTAGGGTAGGGTCCAGGGGTTGCTATAGGATTCCCATAAGGGTTACTGTAAGGGCCACGGCTACGAATACTAGCAGGGTTACTATTACGGATTCTATATGGGATTCATGGGGGCAGAGGACAAAGGGGCTAAGGGAGACAGATGGGAAACCCTTCCAGGGAACCCTAGAGGGAACCCCAAAAGCGAGCCCTTGAGAGGAACCCGAAAAGGAACCCGAAAAGAACCGGGAAAAGGAGCCCTGAAAAGAACCCTAAACCCTAAGAGGAACCCTAAGAGGAAGCCTTAACGGAACCCTCAAAAGTATCCCCCGAAGGAACCCACAGCCCTAATTCTCATAGCAACCCCTAGACCCCAAACCAAAAGCACAAAACCCCGAAACCCCAGAATGCCCCAAACACCTAACCCTTAACCCTTTAAAGGAAGCCCTAAAAGGAAGCCCTAAAAGAAAACCCTAAACTCTAAACCCTAAACTCTTAAAGAAGCCCCTAAACCAAAGCCCGAAGAGCAGGTGCTGTCACCTTTAACTCCGTCCTGGGCTCTCTGGAGCCGGAGACGTCTTGGTCCCGGCTTCCTGACTGGGTCTTTGGTGTATATGAGAATAAACTTTATAATCAAGGGATATATATATATATATACATATTATAGGGAAATATCATTCAAAACATGTAATACAATATAATATAATACAATATAATATAATACAACATAATCTAATACAGTATAATATAATACAATATAACATAATATAATATAGTTTAATATAATATACGAGAATATGTTTTACAAAAAGACAAGATAACATAGGATAAGATAAGATAAGATAAGATAACAGAATATAGTATAATATGATATAAGAGAATATGGTATATTATCAGACAAGATAAGATAATATAATATAACACAATATAATACAATATAAGTATAGCTAAAACAGAACATGTAATGCGTGATATATAATTACGCAATACATGGTGGAATGTAGAAAATGGAGATAATACGGTAGGCGGCCTGGGGGCATGTCGTGGGTTTGGGGGTCAGTGGGAGTTTAGGACTTTCAGAGTTCCGGAGTGTTCGATGTAAGAAGGAAGGCCAGCGGCCAGTGGTGAACGTGACTCTGAATCTTCGGGTTCAGGGCTTTCGGGTTTAAAGGTTGTGGGGTTTCTGCAGGTCTGTGATAGGCTGGATGGCGGGCACGGTGTAGACAGTGTAGATGCTTACCGCAAGTCATGTTTGGAGTCAGAAGTCAGAAGGGTGCTTTCTGCAGAATTTCTGCTCCATCGAAAAACCCAGAGAATTTGCTTCAAAGGGTCTCACCATGTTATTGTAGCCAGGTCTTTTCCGAAGGCCTGGAGACCGAAAGCAATCCTTGAAGTCTTGAGATGTTCAGCCTATCACCTAATGCAACTTCGAGCTCTGAGCTGCCTGTACCTTCGTCTGACAGAATATTATAGTCAGGAACCCCCAAAATAGCAGTGGTAATTGATAGGGCCCCTATATTGTGGAGTTTATTCTATAATATTATAGTCAGGAACCAGCCTGACAGCCCCCCTTAGCTGAGACAAGCTCCCGATCCCGATCCCAACTCCTCTGCCCGCAGGCTTTTGGCACTTTGGAGGCCTTAGCCCCCAACTTATAAAAGGGTGCAGGAACCTCTAGGTCTAGATTCAGTATTGTATGGGAAACCACAAGCATAGTTAGTGTGTGAGGGTTTGGGTCGAAAAGCCTCGGTGTTTCCAGCTACCGTTTCCGAAGCCGAGACAAATCAGCCGTGAAGAGAGGCTGCTCGCTTCGCTGAACCACATGAGGGACCACCTCGTGTCCCCAAGCATCATCAGCTTCAACACAGGCGGGATGGGGTTGTCTTGAGTGGCTGGACTCTTGGAGGTCGAGGTCCGCAGTTCCTGTTCGTCTTCTGCGTCTGCGCTCGCACTCGCTTTTCTCGAGGCATTCAGCTACTGGAGAAGAGCCCCTGTTGGAGCCGCAGCCTGCAGCTGCTAGCTCTCGCGGGGCGGCTTTGCGTGCGACGCGATGCCGTGAGTGCTTGGTCGGCATGTTTGCTTGGCCGTGCTCGCAGCCTACACTGAGAGCATACCTAGGACTCAACGGTTTAGGGTTGAGGAGAGGAATGTCGCAACTGTTCTGCACGTCTTGCCTGCTTTTTCCCAGTCTTTCTGACCATGGAGAGCACAGATCTACAGCTGCAAAGTGCAGAAGTTCACGTCCTCGCTACTGCGAGGCTTGACAGTGGTTCTCAACAGCATCGTTGGATCTAGCCGTGACCCGTCTGCACTCCGCAACACACGGATGAACACCGGATCCACATGGGTGGTTCTCTAAATTAGGACCCCTTTTAGGTCCCCAATGTAGTATGGCACCCCTATAAAAAGGACCCTAAACCCTAAACCCTAAACCCTAAACCCTAAATCCTAAACCCTAAACCCTAAACCCTAAACCCCAAATGAGAGGCCCAAATTCAGAGAACCACAGCCTGAGCCCGAGGCTCGAGCCTTTGGTTCTGGGCCTTGGCGGCCATCGCCGGGGCACGCCGGGAGGCGCTGCGCGCCTCCGACGCTGGACTGGGAGCCCCTTGGGCTTGGGGGGTTTGGGGGTTCATGGTTGGGGGCTCATGGGGTTTAGGATTGGGAGGGCGGCTTTGGGGTTTGGGGGTTTATGGTTGGGGGCTTATGGGGTTTAGGGTTTAGGGTATCGGGCTTGGGTGAGGGTGGCCTGAGTGGCTGGGCGGGCAGGGTGAGCGTTTTGGACTAAGGGTTAAAGGCCTACCTCCCTACATACTGCTGAAAGGCAGTTTGATGGCCTACACAGGCCCCTACTTGCATCAATTTCGCTCAAGCATCTTCGTCACTCTAGCCAGTCAGGCCAACTTCTCGAGAACTTCTTCCCGAAGTGGCCGAGGTTGCCATCCAGTCTGCTGTCAGCGGCAGCCGCTGGAGCCGAGCGCTGGATTTGTTGCACGAAGGGTTGCCCACGGTGCCTCGGCAAAAGTTTTAGGCTGCGGTGATTCCGGAGGGTGAGGTCACACATCATCTGTGGACAGCGATGAAAACAGCATCGCTGACGTGAGTGACAGTGGCAATGTTAACTTTAACTCGGACGGGACTGGTGCGGATGTTCTTGCGAGGTGTCAAACCATGTAGTAGCTACGAAGACGAACCTTGGAAGGACTCTGATCGTAATCATGGCTTGGGGTCAAGGTCTGGGGCGAGGTGTAGGATGCCGCAACTCTTTCCCGGTATGTTTGGTTGCAGGAGCTGAGCCGTCTGGCAGCTGTTGAGGCCTGTGAGATGGGTAGCTTACATCGGGCAGCTGCTTCGCTGCTGGGAGAGGTGACTGAGACCACCAGCTCGGTCATGGCGGCTGTGAGGAACAGGATGCACGCCCCACTTAGCTGTTGTGATTCCCCTGCCTCGTCTCGAACTGACCTCTGATGTTGTAAGTTCGCAGGGCAGCATGGCGCTGGCGTACTCACTTCAGCACGGCGGGTTCTAGTGCGATTCACGAGAGAAGTCTGCTCAGTCCGCTCATACCGCTGTTACTGGCTCGAACCCAGCAGCAGCGTGTGTGACGTTGGACTTCGGGACCTCAGTGATGTTGAGGATCTGATCTGTTGCAGTCGAAGCGACCTTAGGAGTATGCCAGATCCACGATTGTCGAGACCTGTAGTGCCTTCAACACACAGCCGCTCGTAGTTGCCGCCTGCTCTCCCCCCCCGCTGGCCTCGTCAAGCGGCACTTGTGTTGAGACAGGGTCCGGGCCTAAGCTTTGATCCGGCATCTTGGCACCGCCATGTCATGGCGATTTGCTTAAGGGCGAATTGTCCTTAAACTTTCAAGAGTCCGAACTTCCCCTCGCGTTGTAACCTCCGAAGCTTCGGAGAAGAAGATCCGGCATCGCCTAGAGAAGTTTTGCAGCCCAAGAAAGCCTAATAGTTTACAAGAAGAAGACGTAAAGACAACACACAATGGTTCACAATAGTACACTAGCAGGAATAAGCATCATCTTAAAAGTAATCGTAAAAATAGTAATCCCGGCAGCATGTACTGCTGTTGTGATCGTGATTACCCCTCCGCCCGAAACCAAAGCCTGCGCGAGGCGGAACCTGCGGAAGATCCATGGCCGCCGCTGAACAGGCTCTCTCTTGATCTGAGCATTCGGGTGGGTTCTGGGGACTTGGGACCTACGGTCGTTCAAGGATTTTGGGGATCTGGGGTTTGCGGTTCAGGATCTCAGGATTTTTAGAGTTCTTTCGGATTTTATGGCTCGTTAGGCGCAGGCTTTGGGATTGAAAGCTCTAAGTGAAGCTCAGGCCTCAGCCGAGGGCTTAGGAGCCAAGTGGTAACTTGATCCGGTTCAGGGTTTAGGGTTTAGGGGTTTAGGGTTTAGGGTTTAGGGTTTTTTTGAGTCGGGTGTCGCCAAGTCTCGTAGGTGCCCGATGCGCCGCCCCAAGAGTTGCCCCGGACGCTGTGGGTCGGCGATGTGGAGCTCTGGATGGCGGGTCACCTCAGAGGGGGGGTCGATTTGTGGGACTGAGCTTCGCAGGTTTTGGCTCGGGCTGCCTGGCCTAAACCCCTAAAGCCATAATCCCCAAACACCTATATCTTAGTCATACAATATTAGAGCTATAGTATAGTTAGGACCTATAGGAAGAACATAATGGAAACGCTGACTCCCTGAATGCGGGGCTTGGGTTTGCAGCCGGAAGCTGAGGGCTTCGGAATTCGTCGCTGGCGATCCATGCGAAGCCTTCTGCCTTCCTCCCGAGGATGAGCGATACATCTCCAAATGCTTCGAAGGCACAGGTCAGCTTCGAAATGTCATGCCGGCCATGGTTTAAACCCTAAACCCTAAACTTAGGGTGTAGGGTTTAAGGCTTGGGGATGATTGGCTTTGCTCACAAGTGCTCTTCTGCCAGATCAAGATCATCCGCCGACCGTTGTCCTGCAACTTCGCCTTCATTGAGTTCGCACAGCATGAGGATGTCAGAAGCCCGGGGCGTCGGATCCCGAAGCAATTCCATATCAAAGTGCCTCTCAGTGGATCTGCAGCCTCACTTTCAACGCGTCCCGAGAATAAGAATGAGCCAGCCTCAAGCCCTAAACTCCTAAACCCTGTACTGCCTGCTCTTAAAGCCAGTAAAAGCCACAAAAAGCTCAAGAAAAAAGCAACCTCTCCGGTCCGATCCTTCGAGGCTGCTGCACTCCTCGCAAGCATGGCCGGGCAGCAACCCTTCCGCTGTGCTCTCGGCAGGGCACCCGGAAAGCCCTCGCCGATACCCCCGTCCCATGGCGTTGCTTTGCCACGAGCACTGAATTAAGAACATTCATGCTTGGTTTAGTTCAGATGCTGTTGATGGGGATTTAATGTGTCTAGTTGTAGCAAGCTGGGTACAGCGCCAGGGTTTGCAATGAATACGGATCCAGCGGTTTCGGCTCACGCTGGACGTGCAGTAACATGTTTCCAGTTTTCCGCATTGATCACCACGTGCATTTGTGTACACCATGGTCGTGTCTACTCATATGTCATATATCGAAAATCATACTTTGCAAGGGATTTGCACATTCTGAATCAATGTGTCTTTGCACGACTTCCTTGCGGTTTCGTGAGAACCCTACAGTGCTTGGACGAACTGTTCGCTGTGCTTGTTGCAGCGCCATGAATACAAACCCTAGTTTGATGATCATGAAGGGCAGAAGTCGTCCCCGAAACCCTAAGCCTAAACCCTATACCCTAGCTGCCTAGGTCGGTTCTGATGCAAAGTGGAGTGACTCTAAGTGATCCCCTAAATCCTACACCGGCTCTGCAGCTCAAAAGCTAGTTCAATATACCAAAAATTAAAAAATCGCATTGCATTATATTATGTTATATCAAAATATACGATAGTGTAGAATATGAGACTACGTTACACCATGTTGCAACAAGTTATTTGTGTATTGTATTATTCTATATCCTGAGGCCACAGCTTTCGGCTCAACTGGGCTTCGCCGCCTCCTCAGCGGGTTGAGGGCTGCGGTTTTGGTGGTCTAGGTATTTAGGGTTTAGGGTTCAGGGTGCGTTTAGAGGTTTAGGGTTTAGGGTTGAGCGAGGAAGCCTGTTGCGGTTTAGGGCTCGGGGTTTAGATTTGTTGATTCAGGGTTTAAGTTTAAGTTTAAGTGCAATTCAATGAAGGTCTAAGGCCTGGGGGCTGGGGTGTGATAGGGGTGTGGCGCGGTTGTCGTCATGAGTCATATGGTTGCAGTATTCCGAACAGGAACAGCAAGAAGGCGCCAGTAACAAGGGCACGAAGAAGCGAGAGTGTGAATAACCAAGCAACAGGAACCAGGTACTAGGTGGCCTTGGGGATATTCCGTGTTTCCCTGACTGGGCTTAAGAAGATCTTATTTACGATCGTTACTGTCAGAGGCTTTACAGGGCCAGCCTAGGATACAGCGATACTTAGTCTATAGATGCTTAAAAGCAACAAACTTAACTATAAAGAAATAAGTAAGTAAATAAGTCCATGTATTGATATCTGAGAAAGTGGTAGTTGATGTAAATCTGTAAATGTGCGTATCCTTGTGTGTATGTGGATGCCTGTGATGTGCACATCTGCGCTTTAAGGCCGTTGATGACAGCCTGCTGTCGAATCTGAGGTCTGGGGCCTTCGGTGAGAGGGAGCGGGAGCGCCACAAGACGGTCTCGGCCGCTCGGACCTCCATGCTTGCAGGTTTGGTTTCTTTAAGGCTTGCCGAATGTTTGTACTAGGGTAAGCCCCCGACAGCCCTGCGTTTCAGTCTACAGTCTAGTGTCTTTAGGTTCAATTTCGGGCTTCGTGTTTCAGTCTTCATGTCTGCCGGCTTCGGGGAGGCGAGTGCAGGCCAAATGCACATGTCTCGTCGAAAGAATGCCCTGTTTGCAGCTCTACGTCGGGAACCTGGACGCATCTGTCCGGGACTCCGATCTGAAGAAGCTCTTTGACAGGCGGCCGGGTGTTTGATGCGGCAAGATTTGAGATCGTTGCTTTCTTCTTGAGAAGCGAGCATTCAGCCTATGACCTCACTAGCCTAGGCCCAATTGGGCTGGGAGACATGGTCGCCTGGTCAGGTACCGATCCCTCTGCCACGTAAGGGTCGTCTTCTCAGCCACTCTGGGGCCAGCAAGACGCAGGTGTTTCGTGGTTTTTGCAAGCTGCTCAGAGGGTTTATCTGGACCTCCGGGGCATGGTCAGCATGTACCGCAAGTTTTTTCAACCCGTTACTATACTACTGCTACGACGCAGGTCATCACGGACCCCGTCACGTCTCTCTCCAAGGGCTTCGGCTTCGTGCGCTTTCGCCGCGGGCTGTGCCAACATGCGTGACTCAATTCGAGCTTCGAAGCTCCCACCAGTGATTGATATCACTGTAGACTGTAATTCGCATTGTCTATATATAAACATGGATGTTGTACACCTACCCACTACAAAAAATGTATCGCTCTTTTTTTTTTCTCTCTCTCTCTCTCTCTCTTTTATGTGTGTAACCTAAGCCGGCTTTTGAGCTGGCATCACTGAGGCGAAGGCGCTGATGCAGAGCAAGCCTTGCGTGAGATGCAGGCGGCTGGGGTTTGGTGGCGTCCCAATCGGCTCTCAACAATGACTATAGTACTATTATTGTTATTTATCAGAATATTAATATTAATGATACTGATTCTTGTGATTTTCTGTTGCGGGGTTCTTCCATGTTGGCCAAAACCGATCTTCTTGTCCGTGCGATGTCCGTCGACGACTAAGTCTCGATCGCCGTCTCTCGGCACCCCACGGCATAAGATCAACTTCTCTCCAATCCCTAAACCCAAACCTTATAAACCCTAAACCCTGAACCAAAACCCCGACCACTAAAGCCTAAACCCTAACACCTAAACCCTACGTAAAGTATTCTTGCGATTGAATTTTGGTGCTAGCTCTCATGTGTTGGGCATCCGACTGAAGATCGGCCCTTCAGGATTTTCAGCGGGATGCAGCCACGAGGGCCCTCCTCTGATTGTGGGTTCAGGGCACCGGCTTGGGAGCCTACATCTATGCTATGATGCAAGCATAACTTGCGAATGCTGGTGCTTCATCTTAACACTCCGCTCTCTGGTCAGGGCATCGTCCTCGGCAGCAAGTCCATCAAGGCCCTGCTGCTTTCTGGCCCGTTTGGACGGTCGGGGGTTGCGGACTTCGACCCGTAACCTTGCACGTCAGCCTCGCCAGAGAGTTGATTCAAGTGGCGGTATACCAGTATACTGAGTGATGACCCGCGAACATGGCAAAGGATTCATGCAATGACAAACAACATTAACTCACGAATGACACTATTAACTATCAGCGTTGCCGCCCGGACTCTTTCATGCAGGTGAAGCCTGCAACCAAGATGGAGGTGTGCGGAGGGCTTTGCGGATTGAGAGTCTTTTTCTTGTCGAGCTTGAGGTCCGATGAGGAATTTCGGCGCACCAAAACACCGAAACCCTGAACTCTAAACCCCAGTCGGTGTGTTGAGGATGGATGTTTGGGTGTCAAGGCTCAATCTTGCAGCCATAGCGCTCGAGCTCACTTGAATCTAAGACACAGTTGACTATCGAACTTGGGCACAGAACCTCCAAGCGGAGCTCAGGAGTATGAGCTTTCAGGTCTGGAGGTTTGTTGCCGGCTGACACGCTTGAACAAAAAGAACCCTCCAGTAGTTTATCTCTTATAGCTAGTGCATATGGCATGGACGAAGAACGCCATACGATAACTCATAACGGGACATGGACAAGAACGACAGATAGTACTGAGCCACATTGTAAACATTGTAGATACATCGCGCCTCAGTCCCTTAACTGTGCAGGCAAGGGACCGCGACGGTTCGCTGTCACAGGCATGGAAGAAGGGTCAGGGTTCGGTGGTTCTGGTTTGAGGGTTCCTGGGCTCTTTCGAGTCTTCGCATCTCTGAGATCATAAGCCCTAGCCCCCCAGCCCTGCTGTGATCCTAATCGAGGCTTCGGCCAGAGATCCTGGCATCAGGGCCATGCCCCTAACTCAACTCTAGAGGATCTTTAGAGCTTTGAGGGCATTGGGCTCAGCTCTGCCGTTCTTTTGTGGCAGAACCTTACAACTGCAACGTCAAAGTGAGAGGAAGAGGGAACTGCACAAATCTACGTGTCGATCTAACAGTGTGTCTGTCTGTACACATGTCTGTACGTCTATCTATCTATCTATCCATCCATCTGTCTCACTTCTACAAAGCCTATGTATGCATCTACCTGTCTATCTATCTACCTATCTGTCTGCCTACACTGCGAAAGTACACTAGTACAGAATGCGCACCAAACTACTCTAAAGTAGATCCGTGCACAAAGCTCACTCCACTGAGAAGCAAAGTCAACCCTGAAGTTCTGGCGCCTTTCTCCACTCAGGGCAAAGTCGTCTTGAGCCACCAAAGTGGCAGTCACTCACTCTGGGGCAAAGTAGGGACGTGTTATTTTCACACATACACACATACA